ACTGTAAAGGGTTCGAATTACATACATCTCTTGAATAAAATGAACACCCAGTACAGTAACACTAAATGTTACATATGTGCAAAGAAGCTGAGTTGTGGTTTCTCTGGGAACTGTAAGTGAATCTCTTCGGTTTTGTGTGTCTAAATGCTTAACTTAGTGTTGTATTTATATAGGATTGGGGTGTTTTTTTTGGTTGAATATCCTTACATTCAGAACTTTCTGAATCAGGTAGCTCTGTATCCACAGCTAAAAAGCAACTGGATTTCCAGCGGGAGTCCTAGGATATTTTTCTCGCGCGCGCTCTCTCTCTCACTAAGAGAAATCACAGTGCACCTGATGTAACGTTCCATCACTATCAGAGCTTGCACAGCTGTTTTGTAGGGTCCACAGTTAGGGGTAGAATGAGAGCCAATAATGGCTTCTTACATAGCAGAGTGTGCAGATAAACAAAACTCCCAATACAATCTTACTCTTTTGCTTACTGCTTCTTCTGCTTTAAGCCAAGAATCCTACAATGTACCCTATTTTAGATGATTCCAAAACCTCCTCTTTTTAATACGTGGTGTAGTTATACATAGACCAGTCCTAAATTTCTCAGCCTCCTTAAATACATGTGAATTCCTCAGTTTACCTTAAATACATGTGAATTCCCTAACCTTATAAAACAATTTACCTGAAAACCATTTTAGCATTGCCTAGTCTAGTGCATTGTCTATGATTCCCTAGGTCTCTACTTAGTTTCCAGAGGGCAATCAGTTATTTATTTAAATCATTCAAAGTAGTTAAATTATCCTATCTTATTATAGTTCTATACTGTACATTAATGGTTTAATTAACCATAATTTTTAAAAATCTCACTCAGCCTATTTGTTATTTTTATAATTGTTGCCTGACTATTCATTTCTCTCACCAAATTCACAATTTTTTGAAAGCTTTTGGATGTTGCGCTAAACCTCTAGCTGTTCATGGTTCTGTTATATATGTAAGTGTCCTTTTTAGACATGAATTTTTTTAGACATTTCCCCCTTCCCCACAAGCTCTCCAGTGTTGTGTTCTTAATGTAGACTGACTTTTTTTGGAATCAAATTTTGGGTTAGATACCATTGACATTTAGGCTCTTGGTTTTATACTCAATGTGATGGCTTTCACCGTTTGTCATTTGCATGCTCAGTTTTTTTCAAGCTTTCGAAAAACTTTGCAGATGACTTTTAAAATAGGCAGGCATGTGTATATATAAGAAGTTTCCATCCCCTTTGAACATATTTATTTTGTATTTTTATATTTGGAAGAGAATGGGGTACCTGTTCTGATCCTGTAGTGCAGATTTTGTTAAAATTTTGTCATCTATGATGATGTGTTCTTCATGAGTCAGTGCATGTATCCATTTGAGTTGTCTCTGGCTCATCTTGGGCCTGACACTGAGCACTGCTGAGTACCTCACAATCTTCAGAGTTGCGAATGCTCAGACTCTTTCCAGGATCAGGCCCTTGAACACTTTTTTCTTCAAGTTAAATTCTTGGAGTGGACTGGTGGGGAAGTAGTGCTGACACATGAGATCTTTCCCATAGATACTGCATTTCCACACAGATTCTCCAATGACAGCATAGGGCAAACCTTAGTGCTTGCATTGTGTATCTCCTTTTCCAAGTCCATTGTTTGGTGTTGAATCACACTGTGGTTCAACCTTCTCTCTCTACTCCACCCCCAAGAAACAAATTAATATCCTTAGATCCCAAATAAATGTTTGATTTTATATGGTTGTTATAGAAATATCCTAGAAAACAATTCATATACTTCTAAGCTTGCCTACCTAGTCCTCTGTAGAAGAGTGGAAAAGGAAGAGTCCATTGAAAATGGCAGGTTGTAGTTCACAGATAGCAGTATTTAAGTGGCTTGCTATAATCATATTAGGATAGAATTCACCGAATTCTTTATTTTTACACTGCACTAGAATAGACTGTTACTGTTTTTCCCCCCCTCCCCCCTCTTGCTTTGATGATTAGCTTCAAAACTCACCCAGCATAAATGCTAGAGTTCTGCAGCAATGTACTCGGAAACTGGTGTGAAAAGAGTCTGGGTTGGAGTTTTGTGTCCTTGCACATGAAAGCTCTGGTGCTTTCCTAATAGAGTGAAAATGAGACTACTGCTGCTCTATAAGAGGTCTGTTCTAGCCACATTTCTCTGCAGCTTGGCAGATGGTGGCATGTCAATGGTTTCTTATTGATTGGTTGAAATTGCCTCAGGGTAGTAGGAGGAAAGGTCCTTAAAAATGTGCTTCAGGTCCCTTTTTTGTTTGTTTTTTTCTTTTCTTTTTTTTTAAATACATTTATAAAAGATTTCTGTTTAAATCAGAGGAATGGCTGGTAATCAAAATACTGAAGTTATCTGCAAGTAAAAAATAACAGTCCTGAAACCCTTAAATATATTTATCTCCAAGATCAGCAAGCCAAGAATATTTTATTTACTAAATAATTACGTTTCAGTGTTAGAAAAGAAGTGACATTTTTAATTAATATTCAAGACATACGGTGAGTGAGAAAATAAGCTCATTTCATACATCCAGAAATGGATGGAAATAACCTTTCTTCCCCATATAGAAAGTGGGGTGGAAAATTAATATATTCAAGAAGGTTAAATCATAACTGCATCACTTAATATTATTTAACAGACAAAACAGAATATCAGTTGTGTGTGTGTGTGTGTGTGTATATATATATATATAGCTTAACCCAGTGCAAAGTATTTATAGAGACATCCGTGTATGAAAGAATATAGTAGTGTAGGTAATACTATGTATTTGACAAGTCAAAATCACATGTTCATATGGTTTGTCACATTTTAATAAAATAGAACGTTTGGAAAATAACATGACCTTTACTTTCAGTAAATAACCTTATTAGGTTCTGCTCCCACTGAAGCCAGTTGCAATGGGATTTCAGTGGGATTCAGTTCTGGCCCATAATAAATAACACTTGTGTGTGATTTCTTTTTGTTTTTCATTCTTCCCCCACACCACCAATTTGTGCTTTAAACTTTAAAAATGTGAATTGTAAGCTCTTCAGGACAGGGGCTGTCTTTGCTATGATAAGGTAGGTTCATAACTGGTTGGAAAACCATTCCCAGGGAGTAGTTATTACTGGTTCACACTCAAGCTGGAAGGGCATATTGAGTGGGGTCCCTCAGGGATCAGTTCCAGGCCCAGTTCTCTTTAATATCTTCATCAATGATTTAGATAATGGCATACAGAGTACACTTAAAGTTTGCGGACAATACAAAGCTGGGCGGAGTTGCAAGTGCTTTGGAGGATAGGATTAAAATTCAAAATGATCTGGTCAAACTAGAGAAATGGTCTGAAGTAAATAGGATGACATTCAGTAAGGACAACTGTGAAGTACCCCACTTAGGAAGGAACAGTCAGTTGTACACATTCAAAATGGGAAATGACTGCGTAGGAAGGAGTACTGTGGAAAGGGATCTGGGGGTCATAGTGGATCACAGGCTAAATATGAGTCAACAGTGTGACACTGTTTCAAAAAAGCGAACCTCATTCTGAGATGTATTATCAGGAGTATTGTAAGCAAGACACACAAAGTAATTCTTCCACTGTACTAAGCACCAATTAGGCCTCAACTGGAGTATTGTGTCCATTTCTAGGTGCCACATTTTGGGGAAGATGTGGAGAATTTGTAGAAAGTCCAGAGAAGATCAACAAAAATGATTGAAGGTCTAGAAAACATAACCTATGAGGGAAGATCGAAAAATTGGATTTGTTTAGTCTGGAGAAGAGAAGACGGGGGGAGATGGGACATAACAGTTTTCAAGTACGTAACATTTTGTTACAAGGGGGAGGAAGGTAAATTGTTTTTGTTAACCTCTCAGGAGGAGAGCAATGGGCTTTAGTAGCAGCAAGGGCGGTTTAGGTTGGACATTTAGGAAAAACTTCCTAAATGTCAATGTTGTTAAAGCACTGGAATAAATTACCTAGGGGCGTTGTGGAATCTCTGTCATTGGAGATTTTTAAGAGCAGGTTAGACGAACGCCTGTCAGGGATGGTCTGGATATACTTAGTTCTCCCTTCAATACAGGGGACGACTAGAAGACCTCTTTGAATTCCCTTCCAGTCCAATGATTCTATTACGTGTTTATGCAGTATCTAACACAGTGGGCCCCACATCTGATTGAGGTCTTTGGGCACTGCTGTAGAGTATTGAGTGAATTCATAACTTTGTATGATAGTAGAAGCATTCCTTGTTGTAACAGATCTAAAGTAAAACAAAAGAAAATTCTTATGTTTATAGAAATATAGCGATGAGGAAAATTTAGTAAGCATTTCTAAGTCTTCTTAAATTGCTGTTGAAAACGATGATCAGTCTAGTATTTTTTCTGGACTTGTGCTCTGATAGTTTATCATGCGTTTTCTGACTTTTGGTTTAGTTTTGTTTACCATCACAATATTATGTTAAGTAATCTGGTATTTTACCTGGGGAAGTTGTAGTCTGTCTATTCTCCAACTTCCCTCCTGCCCCATGTTTACTATAAATGAATGTTGTGTTCATGTTTACTTGAACCAGTTTGTCATCCTATGCTCAATGTTTTTGCTGTCTTCTGTCAAGAGACCATTTCCACTGGTGGTGTTCCCCTGCTGATTGGGTTTTTTTCATTAAGTTCATTTTTGCCAAATGAAAGGTTTGTGTGTAATTGTGTTTAGGTTCCTTTTTAAGATTTTTTTTTAAAATGATTTGCTAATGAAAGTTCATTGACTTGTTCTTTGTCTTATGGGGAGCAGATGATTGACAAAAGAATGCAAAATATGGGCACTTTTTGGGTTCTATACCACAGCTAAAGACTGTTCCAAGAAAAATCTTTAAGATGGTTATTTGAATCTGTGCACACTGCCCACCTGGTGGTTGTAGAGTGAACTGTTACTGCACAGAATAGTTTAAACAACAGCCATGTTTGGGGCAGGCTAATCTTGCAAAGAGAGCAGTGCATATAACAGGAGTGTACTGTGTGTGAGATAAGGGGAAAATTCAGCTCACTGACTAGATGTTTTAACGTGCGAACTCTAGGGAAATAACATATTGACTATACTGTTGTGCGCAAGAAAATTGAAGAACCCTTTGCAGACAGAGGGCTTGCAAAGGATTCTTTCTGTTTCTCTTAAACCAAAATCTGTGGCAAGATGTTTGAAATCAGCAGGACGCTTAATGCTGCTTTGTTAAATAATGAGGTAATATTTTGTCACTTTTCTGGGCAGCATCTGTTTCTTTTTCCACCTTTTTGAATATGTTTATGAAGGATTCAGTTTATTCTTATGAAAGTAAGAGATTAAAAAATCATTCTTCACTTATTTTTTTTTCCTTTCAATGCTTTTGGACAATTGGGTTGTCTTTATTTGCGGTTTCAGTCGGCTGCTGTTGCCTAGGACATTATGCCACGTAAGGCTTCTAAACTGCACAGAGTAGGTAGTTATTAACGCTGAATTGGCTTCTGGTATAGTCCATCTGGGCTCTGTATGAGAGAGCTTGCTGGCGGCTACTGATGCTAAGATACCCGCAACCTTTGGGATGTATGCATGGTGTAGAGGGGCTCAGTGATATGAGATCACTTCTTTTAAGGGAAACTGTCATTAATGAGTCAAGAAACTGCTCATTTATGGTAAGGAGGGGGGGGTGGGGGACAAACAGCCCTGTGATTTCATTTTGATATTGGATTAGGTGTTTAAGACAAGTTTCTTTTTGTGGGGATGGAGGCTGGCATAAAAATAAGGCTTTTCTCAGAGGTTTACTGGCTGATTCTGAGAGACTATATTGAGAATTTGATGCTTTACAAATGTGTCACAACTCTGATGCAGTGGTCAGCCACTTACCCTGAAAGATGAATGGTACTATTGGAAACACGATAATAAGGTTGACTTTTTCAACAATAGGATTCTGCCTTTGTCTTTAGAGAGAGGCCTCTGAGGACGTTTGTGCGTTTGTTTTAGTATTCCTCTGAAAGATTTGGTGTGTGGGTTTGTTTTGGTTTTTTGTTTTGGTTTTGGGTTTTTTTTTTTTTTGTAAAAGTGATCAGTGTACAAAGTACATGAAATTTTAGTTTTGCAAAACAGCTAATTGTTTAGGACTGCAATGTGAGATTGTTGTTTCAGAAAAATGGCTGAATCTTTTGATATGCATAACATTAATTTATAGCTAACAAAGTGTGCTGAGGTTGAAAAGGCTGAAAAAAAGATTTTTCCATCCCTTGTTCAATTTTGTTAACCCCTGAAGAGACCTTAAGTAAAAATCTTCATTACAAATGAAACTTTCATATTCAGTGTATTTTGGGACCAGAACATATGATGATGTACTAGTTATACAGTATTTTGATGCTAGTGAATTCACTCTAGCATTTTAGTTTGAGTTGCATAGATTGATTTAGGAAACCTATCCTATAACCCAGTGTAATCTTTGCTAGTTTTTGCTAAGCTACAAATGTTTTTAAAACTATTGTGTGATAAGAGAAATCCTCTGCAGCCATGTAAACTATCCATAATAGATGTTAATTGAATTCGGTGTTCACTCCGTGGGTAGGAAAGGTTCATTTATTTTAAATGTTTTTTCTAATGTGTGTTTTCTGCTTCTATGATCCATTTGTATCTACATTATTTAAAAGATTAATATATTTCCTACATTATACTATTTGTTTAGGCTTGACTGGGTTTTTTTGTGCATGTGGATGTTTTAAAGAAATTTTAAAACGTATTGAGTACCCTTTACGAGATTAACAGTTCTGAGTTAATATTTGTACTTTAAAAAAACTTTCCCCAAAATGTTAATTATATATTGGCGTGGGGTAGGTTTGTGGTGTTTCATAAAACCATTTCTTATTTTCTGCAGTGAAGAGCTAAATGAGCATATATCATGGCCCATACTAGCGTTCTCCGCAGCTTTTACCTTTCTATCTGTTCCGAAATAGAAATATTAATAATTATATTGGACATTTTTAAAAAATATTTTCTTTTTACTGTACACATCAAAGATAAAACTAACTGATTTAAATATCAATATTACATAGATTAAAAATCGGTAGTTTTAGATTAGATAAACGTTAATCTCAGGTTAGATGTAAAAACAGGATGCCATGCCTTGTTATCTTGGCTACCATGTATAAAATCAACAAACCCCTAAAATATTTCCCTTTTGAAGAAGAGGGGGAATATAAATGTTTCCTAATTAAGAGAATTTTCAAAAAAGTTGCCATAGTGGAGAGTTTGTGAAATATTGCTGTTTATAATTGGTGGTTTGGTGCTTTGTCTGTGGAAGCAAGCAAAGGATAAGTGAGTGTGTTTCTTACAAAGTTAAAGCATGTTGCTTATTACAGTTGAAAAATAATTTCATTTCAATGCCCAGGTTTATTTAGCACTTCCTTGTAAAGCAAGCAAGTAATGAAGTGAGATACCTGGATAATTATAAAATACTACTTTTATTCTGGTAAAATGTGCTGGTAAGTAGATATTTTGTTTTAGACATATAATCAAGTGCAAGTAATATCAAACCTGCCTTTAAAACTATATATCCATTTGAAAGTCTCTTACTGCAAAAGGAAAAAAAATGCTTTATTATGAAAATCAATAGTACCTGAGAATAAATGCAGTTAAAATGCACATTAAAGTGCTTTTGTCATATCTTTAAGCCTAGAGGCACATCATTAAATATGCATTTTTCCGGAAAGCAACTGTCGAGAAAGATAAGGTGGTTAAAATACTCCAGACCTCAAAGCCACGCATGCAAGAGGTAAGAGGTTGCAGTCATTGAAGCATGGCTGAGGTATGGCACCTCCATGATGGAGGTATATAAACTGTAGATATGGCCTGTAACTGTTACTGTACTTCTGGGGTAGGGAGAGATAAAATACACGTATATGTGTTGCTTTTTCAACTGGGCCTTAATTACTAGACACAAGCAGCAGTTCAGAAATCTGGTCTCTGTTGTTGTAGAGGTCACCAAATCATTAACATTGTCAATCTGGCAGTAGCTAATTTCAATAGCACCTGATGTTGCAACGCCTCCTTTAGTTTCCCTAGCCAATCAGATCCTGGCTTCAGCTGACAGATGGTCCCATAAATGGATGTAAAAAGGAGAAGCTGCAAGCCAATTTCAGTAAGGCTCTGTTCAGTTGTTCTTATCTACATCCTAGAATCGGGGGCTTCAACACACTGTGCTTTTTTTTATTATTATTCTTTTGCTGCACAAAACGTCTGCACTGTGCTTTGTGGTATTTTTTTTTTTTTTATTTTTTTTTACAAAAAAAATTAAAATTACCTCGTAACA